CGGTCGCCGCTGGCCTTCCCCGGCTCGCCCCGGCCGGCCGAGCTGGCCAAGCACTCACCATCCCTGGGGTGGGGGGATGCCCCGGTCCCAGCCCACCATCCTGCAGCCCCCGGGAGGGAGGGATGCTGGCCTGGCCGCCACGGTCCCCCCAGGGAACACGGCTCCCATCAGCAACAAGGCTTCCCCCTGCACCCCCGGGGCTCCTGGGAACCCCCACCACCACCCTCTGCGAGGAGTATGGGGTAAAAAGACTCCAAAAATGTGCTGTAACCTGTTCGGGGGCCCCCGCCAGGCAGAGGAATCACCTGTTGTAAGGTGAATCTTGATGGGGAACTTTAATTTCAGCAGGTATGAAGCATCAGGACCCAGGGATGTATAAAGGATCTGCGTATTCCGGCTACCCTTTCCTAATGCTCTCAGACCCTTACCTGCCAAATGGATCTATGTCACCTCTGGTGAGTTCACCCTCTCCTTACGGAGAAGTTTCGTGGCCTCTCTCACTGCCGATGTACGTTGCAGGTATCGTGCAGGCACCTACACGTGCTTTTTTTTTTTCCTGACAAATCGCAGCCCTGTTTCTAAAATGCCCGGGCGCTGTTCTGGCCAAGCCGAAGGGAGAAGGAGTGGGGAGGGGGAAAGATGCTCGGCAGCAAGCGCCTGCTTCGCTCCAAATTTGCTGGAGGAGCTGCTTTTCCAATCTCCCCATCCTCTAGTCTCGCCTTTACTCCTCCAGCAATCAAACCCGAGTACCCGGTGTAAGAATGCCCCTTCCTTTTTCTGGGTCACAGGCTTTGGAGGCGAGCAGCTTCTGGTGTTTGTGTTCAGGGAGGTGTCCCGCAGCTTAACTTCAGTTCGACGTTATCTGCTTGTGAAATGGCCAGGTTTTGGCCGGCCTTCGGTTGGGGCTCTGCTGTGGATGATGGCCCAGAAAGTGGATCTTGTGCTTCTAAAATGGCAGTAGAGGTTTTTAGAAAAAGACTTAATGCTGCTGGAGGACTATTCCCGTCTTCTGCCTGTAAAGTTTTTCCCCCTCAGGTCAAATCAGCTTTGATAATTCTGTATATTCTAATGTTTATAAGTTTTGCTGTCTGAATAATTAAACTAAAGGCTTCTCTATGAAAGCTGCCTTTTCCCATTGCCATCTCTGTCGGAACTTCAGAAAATAATGTCAGGGCATCGCAGCAGCCAGCCCGTGCTCGGGTCGCTCCCGGGGAGCCGGCAGTGCTGCGTTCGTTTCAGACGTTATCCTGCATTTGCAGGTGGTAAAGGAGAACAGAACATCATCTGGGGTATTTCAGGTTTCGTTTTTGACCTCTTAGGGGATAAGGTTTAAAAGACTGTATCTTGCCTTCCTTAATCTCAGCCATTTTTTCGCTGGAGGGGCAGGATGTTAAACTGGCGTTATGAAAAACTGATGGATTGTGGGGTATGAAACTCAAGTTAAAGTGTGATGAAATATTGTTCACTGGAATTGCTGCTGCGTCCTCCCGCCTGACCCTGCTGGCCTGTGCGGCAGGAGGAGAGCGGGTCCCCCCCTGAGCCTGCCTGAACCCCAGCACAGCCCTTCTCGGGGGAGCCGATTTCCCCGGCTGCAGGCTGTCCTAACTTTGCTGAAGTCAGGTTGCAGATATTGAGGCTCTGTCCCGCAATTTTAAAGTCTTCCTTTGGCAAGAAGAGATGCGTTTGCAAGTCTGTACATTGCTGTAATCCAAATAAGCATTTCTTCTGTTGCTTCCCACCTTGTGCCCCCTCCTCCAGGTACCAGGTATCCCCCTCACCCCTCTAAAATATAAAGTCGCTCTCTTCTTGATACATTTTACATGAGGATACTAAATTTGTCTTATTTAAATGCATTTAGTTTGCTCCCTGGGATAGAACCCGGGTAAATTCAGAGCTACATTGGGCCACCAACTATTTGCTGTAGGAGAATTTCTTTTAATCTTAAAACCTTACTGGATGGGCAACAAAATGCAATAGCCTATTGATTAGCAATTACGCTAAAAAGTAGATTGTGGTTTGTGAATCACCTTTCCCCTTGATAATGTAATAAAAACCCAAGAGGTTGCTGAGCAGCAGACAGGAGTAAATGGACTGTGCAGAACTCGAAGGGGAAAAAACCGAGCAGCAGAGAAGGATTGATCCTGGCCCCATGAGAGCCCCAGAAATCATCCACTGCCTCAGCCAGCTTAGCTTAGGCCCGTTTGAATCCTGCCGAGTTTTACCTTGTGTGACTTAAAAAGCTGATGTGATGTTTTCAGCTAAAAATCTGTTACCTAACAGACACGGGAAGGTTTCTTCCTGGGATAAAGGCTGGTCTTTGGGGTTTTCGACTTGGTACAATAGTTCTGCCGATACATCCTTCTGGGCCATTTTTTCTTGGATTTATATTGACTGTGCAAAGGCTATCACAGTAAATTATGTATTGCTCTCGTATAGATTTATTGCTGCTGTGTATATTATATAAAGTGCGGGCTATGATCTGGTGGCTGCTTCCAATAATTGAGGAGGTCAGATTTGTGACCGAAGATTTCAGATACTTAACCATCCATAAAAGTGTGTTTAATTAACACTTTAGCACAAGCAGAGCCCGGTTGTGTGAGTGAATGGGATTACATATCGCAGCCATGCGTGCGCTTGATAGTGGAGGTTGTATTTTGGTTAATGGGGCTTCCTGGAAACGGTTGTTTGCAGCTAGGATTAATTTTAGCATCTTCAAAAATAAAAATTAAAAAATTTAACCCAGTAGTACTTTGGCAAACCGTCAGGGCTTTACACTTAACTGATTGAAAAATACAGTACGGCTCCCTGAGAGACGAGGGGCAGCCAGCACCGAGGCTGTGGGTTGAACCCCCGCCCTGCAACGCACCATAAAACCACTTTTTTTTTTTTTTTTTTTCTGTGGGCTCCCTCCGAACCCCGGCAGGGTGCTGCGAGCGGCGCTGGAGCTGGCCCGGAGCGCCTGCCCGGGTGGGTGTGTCGCTACCGGCATTACCGGCATGCTGCTTTCCTTTTTTCTTTCTTATTTTCTCAGCGGCATCACTTTTGCTTTGTTTCCCTCAAGGTGGCTGTAGCCCGCTAACTGTTACACTGTTCACCCCAGCATCCTGTTGGGCTGCCCGCATCTCCCCAGCCCCAAAATTGTCTCTTTTTACCAAAACACACCCACTTGTGTTATTTACATGCTCTGGTGGCGCTCCCGAGTGATGTGCCGAACGCGTCCGGGTACCTGACATCAGCAGCACCGCCAAGCCCAGCTGATGTCCCCAGCCAGCAGCAGGATGTGGCAAGAACCACCCTGCAGCGGGCAGATGCCGGGCGTTCGGCTCGGTGGGCCACCGTTGCTGCAGGTGGCAAACGCCAGTTTCGGGGAGTTCAGCTGGAGCGATGCTGGGGTGAGCGTGCACAAGTAGCCTGGACTGGCAGCAGAGCTGTCAAGAAGAGGAAGGAGGGCTGGGGGGTGGCCAGGGCGCGCAGGGGAAGGGGCTCCCGGAGCTGGGGACGAGGCAGTTGGGCTGAGCCCGGCTGTCCCGTGGTTCGGGAGCGTGCTGTGAGCCCCGGCCGGGCCAGGGCGGGCACGCTCTCAGCCAAGCGTGTTCAGAGCATCTCGGCACAGACTCTGCATGCATCTGAAATCTCGAAGTTTTGCAAGGCGCCAGGAGAGCCGTTTCCCACCCGGCTCTCGGGTGTCGCATGCATGGTGGTTCCTGACTCTGCTTCGGCTCTCCCGACTCTTGCAAAGTCCAGCTTTTCCCAGAGTGGAATATATAGGATTTGCTGGTTAAAAATCTGCAAGAAACTTCCCAAGAATATTAACACGTTGAGGAACTGTTTTTCTAAATGAAGTATAAAATCGTAAAACTATATCCTTTTTTAAATAGTACAAATGACTTTAAATCAAATTAAGGTACATCCTTAGTAAGAACATCAGCCTTTTAGGTGGTTACAAACATTAGAGGTCAGACATGGTCAAACATGTTAACACTTTGATCAGATTAAAATATTTTTCTTGCTACAGTTGTATAATTGAGTTTGGACCTGAGGGGGTTTTCTGAACATTGTTATATCTTGTACCATGTGGTAGTTAAATGGTAGAAGGAGCACTTATAAGTTCCTTTACGTTCCTTTTGTAAATAGGTTTATAAAACAGGGGAGCGAGCCGTGCTGTCCCGTATGTAGGGCACAAGCTCTCCCCACTCCAGTCGGTGGGGGAGCTCCCGGGGGAGCTTTTCACACCTTCTGGGCACCTCTCGTGTGTGTAGCGAGCGTGTGAGGTGTGTGGAGGCAGAATTAAAGTCTTTTATGTACAAAGCTGAGGCACCGGACTTTCTGTCTGCATGAGAAACAGAGGTCCAAGAGCCTCTGTTTCTTTGGAAAACAGACACTACCTAATTTTCTTAATTATTAAGTCGTCTAACCAGAGCTCGCATAGGAGCAGAAGGGTGGTGGTCACCTTCCCGAGCTCGGCCCATCCCCAGATGAGATGGCAGGCCTGGGGAACAGTCCCGATGCTCCCCGTGGTCCGCCGGGCTCCTCCAGCTTGGTTCCCATCGAGTGGGTTTGAAATGTCCCCTTGGGCAGGGCAAGATGGAAGTGCAGTTACTGCTGGCCTGGGGCCACAGGTCCCAAATGTCTGTCATGAGGTCAAGAAGCACGGAGCTGGAAGTCTCCTGCTGCCCGTCGCCGGACAGAGGCGCAAGCAGCAGCCGCTGCACCCTGGGACACGGCGACTTCTGCGGCAGCCCCCTTCCTCCAAGGCTGCTCCATCACTTTGTGGGAGGAGGCTGTTGCCCCCGCAGCACTTGACGGAAGGAAATCTGCAGCTCAGCTGCTTCTGCGTAGAAGTCTCTCTGTCCCAGCTTGCACTTGCCAGGGCAACAGTTTAGTATTGTTTTTTCCTGTGTCGAGTTCTGATCCTGTTGAAACCAGTGGGAAAACTCCCTGGAGTCGCCTTGTGATGGGGATTTGTCGCTGCTGCATCCCGCCCCAGATGTGCGCGGAGGGAGGGCGGCCGCACGCGTACGGCAGCTCCGCGCATTACCAGCGGTGCCTGCTGCCCTGGGAGAGGAGCAGCGCCGGTGCCTTCCCCGCCAGGTGCCCTGGCAGCAGGGCTTGCGCTACCGGGACAGCACTCCGTCCCCATAAACTGCTATATTCCCAGCGGAAGGCGCTAGGAGTGCGGTGGCTGTTGATGGATGTCCTGGCAGACAGACAGATGAGTAATTTGTTCCCTCCTGACCAGAGCGAATCCACTTCTTCCAGCTCTTCTACCTAGCTTGAAATAGGATAATGGTGAAAATATTTTTTTCATATTAAAGCCTAATGTTGGATAGGTGGATGTACCAAGGCACAGGGCTTCCGAGGTCATTTATTGCATGTCTGATTCAGCCTTGGTTCCCCCCCAAGGAAAATTCTTCTGTTAATTTCTGAGCTCATATCACACCCTCAATTTTGAAGC